ATTTTGTAGAATGGGAGTAGCAATCTGTTTTTTGACTTATTATCATCTCAAAATTGCAGCTGAAATTGAGAAAAAAAATTGTCCATTTTAACATTCTAAAACATCTACAAATCAGTTGCTACTGTCCCCTATAAAATTATTTTAAACACATATTGATTGATACATATGTACAGTCTTCAAAGCACAGTATGAGGCCTGGTGGTGTTCCTACTCTAGCAGGAAAGATAAAATAGTAGCAAAGGACACCTAGATTAACCAAATCTGCTAACTGCAGTTATAGGATGACCCAATATTCCTCAAATTCACATCAAAAACTAATGATGTAATGTATGGTGATTAGCATAACATAATAAAAAATTTAAAAATAAATAAATACATACAGAAAAAAAAATTCAGCCTAGTGTAATCATTAGGAGCACAAACTCTAGAGCGAGACTGCTTGGGTCTGAATCACAGCTTTTCTCTTTCTAGCTGCCTGACCTTAGCCAAGTTACCTAATCACTCTGTGCTATAGTTTCCTCATCTGTCACATGGAGATAAAATAGTACCTTTCTCATGGGGCTGTTATGAGAAATACCAGAGTTAATATTTGTAAAGTCCTCAGAACACTATAAAGGTGTTTGTTAAATAAAGATAACAACAAATCTCTTAAATAAGGTTCTTAACATTCCCCCCCACCGTGAAGCTATATCACACATGTGTTAAAAATATATACCACGTGAAATAATTTACTGAAAATGAGCAAATTGGAATTCTACCAAAATCAGGAAATAATGGTTGCTTGCACAAAAGACCTGTGCGGAAAAAAACGTCTAAAAATATCTCCACAGGCCCTTGCATAAAATTTTAGTTTTCATGAGAATCCTGCTGTTTGTTTATCCCTGGAATGATTCCACAGAAAACCCAAATAACTTACAATGGTATATATTTTAAAAGAGGGAATATAAGAAATATGGTAGACATTAAAAATAAGTCTAGGGGAAAACAGTACACCTGAAGTCTATGTAGCTTTTAAAATTGCCCTACTCTTTGATTTTGAGTTTCCCAAGAACCAAAGTTAAAAAGGAAATATGACTTTAAGTCGTATTGCCCATCAAGGCCAAAACAAAACACACAGTTTTTAAAGTCTATGCTCACTTATTATAAGAAAGAGATCCTTTATAGATAGTAAGAAGCAGAAAAAGAAAAACGGGAACCTTTTGCATATCAATATGAAGGGTACAACGAGCAATGTCCCAAATAACATCTTCAGATACTTCCATTTAGTTGATGCGGTTTTGTACGAGATTTTCTTAAAATAACTCAGAGTGTAAGCTGATGCCATACTCTTGCCAGCTGGTTCAATGATGGGATTCCAGTGAGGTTAAGAGCATGCGGTCCAAATCTTCAGGTTTTCTGATATTCCAATTATAAATTTCTACAGGAATGGATAGATTTTATGTCCTTTAGACCCCTCTTCCCCCATGTTGTTCCTCTCAACTGAGGTTTGTTGAAAGGTGAGCTGAAGACAGTTTGAGGCTATGTACTCTGAGGGCGGCCTGCAGTGCGGGTATTCTGTGCTACTGATTAAGGGCAAATCCATATGCTTTACTAATCAGCTGAGCTCGTGGTCGAGCTGTTAGAGAATGTTTCTCAGAGGCAGAGGACATGAGCACGCTGTTCTCTTTGCTATCTCATAGTATGACATTCTAGAGTTAACAGCAACAAACTTTGCATTTAGAATGATTTTAATGCTGCTTTGCATAATTCAGAGAGGTAGTTAATTGTAGATAACTGCATCTTGGCTTAGATAGAAACCAAAAATGAGGGACTGAATTCTAGTTCTACTGCCTGTCTATTAAGTTACCTGACCTTGAACAAGTCATTGTACCAACCTGTGTCATAGTTTCATCATCTGTAAAAAGAAATTGAGTAAGTTTCAGGCTCTTAACGTTTGATGACTCTTTTTGTGAATAAGGACTAAGAAACTGTACTCACTAAATGCCTGTCTGTGTGCCCCGTAACCTTGAAAATGCTTTCCTCTTTTTTGAGTATTTATCATTTGGCTCTAAACAGACTTAATTGCTGCAATTTTACCAGTTATTAAAATAGATAACTTCAAGCCTTTTGAAGGGGGGGATGGAAAGAGTGGAGTAAAGGAACTATGTTAGAGACATGACAGGATGCCCTTCCACACAGGCAGCTGTGCACCTTTTCTGTGGCAACCTCTGGGAGTTCTCTTGAAAGTGTTTTTATTGGCATATCAGTCATCCATGAAAGAGATGCTCCGGATTGACCCAAATGTCAAGAATCTTGCTTCTAGTACATGAATTTTTCAAAAGTAAAATTGGAGAAAAGCAGTTGTTGTCTGAATAAGGTTCTTGAACAAGATACTGTATGTAATTTTTTTAAAGTTGTGGTTTCCTAGGACAGGGACTAGGAAGGTGAGTGGGGGGTAACAACATGACAAGAGAAAATGCCTCTTAGAGGACCTAAATAATATATAGTTAGAAAAGAACCCAAGATGAACTTAACTGAACCATGACTATCTTAAGGGAAGTGATTACACACACACACACACACACAAGTGATATTATACACACACACATTTATCTCTGAATCTCTGCTTTTACTTTTTATTTAATTTATTTAAACTAAACAGGAAAAAAACAACAATTCACCCATTTCTTCCACCCCTCATCCCCTGCTTCTTGCAGTCACCAGTCTATTCTCTGTGTCTACAAACTTGGTGTGTTGTTTGTTTTAAATCCCACATATAAGAGAGATCATACAGTATTTGTCATTCCCTGACTTATTTCACTTAGCACAATGCCCTTGAGGTCTATCTATGTTGTTGCAAATGGGAACATGTCATTTTTAATGGCTGAATAATATTCCATTAGATAAACCATGATTTCTTTATTCATTCATCCATCTATGGATCCATAGGTTTTTCCATATCTTGGCTATTATAAGTATTGCTACAGTGAACACGAGGTGCATATATCTTTCCGAATTAGTATTTTTGTTTCCTTTGGATATATACCCAGAAGTGGAATTGCTGGATCATATAACAGTTCTATTTTTAATTGTTCAAAGAACCTCCATACTGTTTTCCATAGTGGTTGTACCAATTTACATTCACATCAACAGTGCAAAGGGTTTTCTTTTCTTCAGTCCTCACCAACACTTTTTATTTCTTGCCTTTTGATAATAGCCATTCAAACAGGTATGAAGTGATATCTCATTGTGGATTTAATTTACATTTTCCTGATGATTATGATGTTGAGCATCTTGTTATATACTAGTTGGCCATCTGTATGTCTTCTTTGGAAAAGTGTCTATTTAAATCTTTGTTCATTTTTAAATTGGGTTGTTTGTTTTGTTACTATTGAATTGTATGTGTTCTTTACATATTTTGAATGTCAGCACTTTATCATATACATGATTTGCAGTTATTTTCTCCCATCCAGTAGGTTGTCTTTTCATTTTGTTGATGGTTTCCTTTGCTGTGGAGTTTTTTTAGTTTGATATAGTCCTACTTATTTATTTTTGCTTTTGGTGTGAGATTTTAAAAAATCATCACCAAGACTGTTGAATCACAGACCTGTACCTCTGAAACAAATAATACATTATATGTTAAGAAAAAAGAAGAAGATAGTAGGAAGGGGAAAATGAAGGGGGGAATTCAGAGGGGGAGATGAACCATCAGAGACTATGGACTCTGAGAAACAAACTGAGGGTTCTGGAGGGGAGGCAGGTGGGGGAATGGGTTAGCTCGGTGATGGGTATTAAAGAGGGCATGTTCTGCGTGGAGCACTGGGTGTTATACTCAAACAATGGATCATGGAACACTGCATCAAAAACTGATGATGTAATGTGTGGTGATTAACATAACAATAATAAAATAAAATAAAATAAGATGTCAAAAAAAAAATCATCACCAAGATCTATATCAAGGAGCATACTGCCTGTGTTGTCGTCTAGGTTTTTTATGGTTTCAGGTCTTATGTTTAAGTCTTTAAGACATTTTAAGTTAATTTTTGTATATGGTGTAAGATAGTGGTCCGGTTTCATTCTTTTACATGTGGCTGTCCAGTTTTCCCAATGCCATTTGTTGAAGAGACTGTTCTTCCCCCATTATAAATTCTTGGCTCCTTTGTTGTAAATTAATTGGTCATATATGTGTTGGGTGTATTTCTGGTCTCTCTATTCTATTTCATTGATCTGTGTATCTGTTTTTAAGACCAATACCATAGTGTTTTAATTACCATAGCTTTGTAATATAGTTTGAAATCAGGGAGCCTGATGTCTCCAGCTTTGTTTTTCTTCCTCAAGATTGGTTTGGCTGGTCAGGGCCTTTTGTGGTTCCATGCAAATTTTATGATTCTTTGCCCTATTTCTGTGGAAAATACCACTGGAATTTTAAAGGGATTGCATTGCATCTGTATAATGCTTTGGGTAGTATGGACATTGTAACAATATTAATTCTTCTAATCCATGAACATGGAATTTCTTTCCATTTATTTGTGTCTTCTTCAATTCATGTCATTAATGTCTTAAAGTTTTCAATATACAGGTCTTTCACCTCCTTGGTCAAATTTATACCCATGCATTTTATTCTCTTTGATATAATTGTAAATGGAATTGTTTTCTTAATTTCTCCTTCTGATAGTTCATTATTAGTGTAAAGAAAAACAAGAGATTTTGGTCTATTGATTTTGTATCCTGCAAATTTACTGAACTTGTTTATTAGTTCTAACAGTTTTTTTATGGAGTTTTTTTAGGTTTCTATATATAATATATCATCTGCAAATAGTGACAGTTTTACTTCTTTCTTCCAGTTTGGATGCCTTTTATTCCTTTTTCTTGCCTAATTGCTGTGGCTAGGAGTTCCAATACTATATTGAACAAAAGTGGCAAGCGTGGACATTCTTGTCTTGTTCCTATACTTAATTCTTATTAAACGCTGACTAATTAGTATAACTTCATACAACTTTTTGTCCCCTCCTCCCTTCCAGCACCAAGGAAAAATTGGAGTTAAATTTAATGTTGGAACAGATGACATCGCCATTGAGGAGTCCAATGCAATCATTAACGATGGGAAATACCATGTAGTCCGTTTTACGAGGAGTGGTGGCAATGCCACGTTACAGGTGGACAGCTGGCCAGTGATCGAGCGGTACCCTGCAGGTAAGCCAGTGATTGTGTACTGGGAGAAGATTTTATGGAAAGCAAACTGGAAAACAAAGCACTATTTTGCGTCCGTTTCACCAAATTGTGGGTTTTCTGAGAAACCATCAAGTATTTATTGGACTTTAAAATCATGTGAATGTAATGCTATCCTAAACTGTTCTTGATACAGTGTACAAATGACATTTTGTAGGAGAACTTGAAGGCACACAGTATCGTTTGCAAAATTCAGGACATCAGTGAAACCAGAAAAATGCACACATAAAAGGCACAACATGTCAAAGCTCTTTTTACTGGATCTTTGCATTTGAACAAAGGAAAGGCTTTGTCAAAAGTAACAAAGTTAAAATTTAAAACTCAGGGAAGGGATATTACACAGTTTTCTCTGAAAGAAAATAGGACCAGGTGGTTCCTTTGATGGTGGTGCAGAGCTGAAACTCATGAAAGGTGCAAGAGGACCATGGGACAAACAGAGAAATAGTAAAGGAACAATATATAGTACTATAAATCACCAGTTATAAAAACATGTAACTAACTGAAATTTGTTTTCACTGTCATATAACCATATGGGAGTTTCACAAGGACTCTCTGACACTAGCATTACTTATTTTAAGTCTATAAAATGAATGTCAAGCTATTATTGGTAAAATAAAAATTACCTTTTTCATTGTTAATCAGCCTTGTCAGTTCTACGTTATTGAAACAAAAGCAATAGATGAGAAATTTAAACCAGTGTTACTTGGGGTTGCATATAGTCTCAATTAAAAAAAGCATGTTGTTTTTAAGTAAAATACAAATTAAAAGTATAATTGTTATTTTACTTCATTTATTATCATCTTTATATTTTAGTACAAAAGAGATTACTAAAAATATCAGCCTCATTTCTCTCTGCTCCCCTTTTAGATACAACTGACCTGTACAACAGATTTATAGCACAGCATAAAGAAAGAATATAAAAAGAAGTTTTCATTTTGTACAGTAAAAATGATTACCAAAATGTGCATAAGCCTCTGTTACAAGTTTTTGTTTCTTGGCAGAAATAATTTGAGGAAATAACTAACTTATTAAATAAAGAGTAATTTTTCTTGGTACTGACTCACAATTAGGAACTGTCTAATGAAATGTCTGTGTTGCCCTTCTGGACCTTTGTGGATTTAAAAAATATCTACATCTTCAAGCCTCATTTCAGACCTATTCTGTAAACTTGGTGTTCTGCAAATATTTGCTGAATTAAGTATAATAAAAAAATCCAGGTCTATGACAAAATTCAGAAGCAAGCACATTAACAATATGTCCAGTGCCCGTTATAATACTGGCAAATAGTAGGCAGTCAATAAATATTTGCTAAATTGATGTCCTGGGAATTATCCCGATTTTACTCTACAGTTATGAGAATGTACACCTTCTTTTACCATCTGTAATAAGATGAAGGAATGGAAGATTTGGAAGGAAAGTAACTTAAATATGCACACAGTGTCACACAGTCCCTGCTAATACCTCATTGAATTTACTGAAATCCTAATACAAAGGCATTTTTCATAAAAACTACAGCCTCAGTGAAATTATGGAAAAGTAAATTGGTGAATTTCCTAAAATACGGATTAATCAATAACTGTTTCCTGAGAGGAAGTTATGGCCCTGGACACAATGAAAGATGTAAATTAGGATAAGGCCTAGGCCCTGTCTCTGGGGGTGTTGTGTCTGTGAATAGTAGAGCTGGACATGTAAATTGACAAATTCCCTTGCTATTACAGTGTGGCAGTTGCTTCTTGAAGCCTAGCATTGTTTCACCAGTTAAATTATTAAAATTATTTCATTTTAGTAACTTTTTACTCTTGTCACACTTTCCGTACTGCTATTTGTAAGAACTCTGCTCTAGAGAATGCTAATGGTGACCTCTGAGGGGAGAGAGGAAGTCACACTCTGAAGTTAGTCTGGGAAAATATGTGTTACTAAGTTTAAAATATGTATACTTGGACTTTATCAATACCCATTATGCATCTGTCAAAGAGAAATATAGTATGCATTTCCCAAGCATAGATAACCAGAATCTAGTTTTCTAATGCGTTAAGGCATTTGGGTAAGTATTTTATGTTTTTTTTAAAATATCTATACCTCTTTGGTATATTGTATCTGATTGGGAATCCTTTAATTGTGCACATACTAGATCCTATGTACGAGGTATAGTTCAAAAAAGATATGATCTTTTCTTGTGGCAAGCCAGTGTCCAATTTGAACACTAGTAGCTGAGATTGGGGCAGTAAATTTATTAAGTCAACAAATATTTGTATATTGTTCAAGACTAATATTTGTTTAACATATACAGTGTATATTTACCAATTAAATGGATGCTCATTATAGGGAACAATGTAAAATATATTTAAAAATCAGAAGCTGGCAATATCATGATAATTAAGGACTAAATCTTTAGAAATAGTTATTTTAGATGCAACCTCTTTTATATTTAGTCAAAGATTCTATGTGCCCTTTCATTAAAAAGTATTTTCGATAATATTGATTAATCAAGAGTGAACAAAGTTGCAGTTATTCTGAAAGATAAAAGCAAGAGTAAAACGCAGAATCTGTCCTCAAGAATGTGAGAGCACCTGTGGGGAATTTCAATATATACATAAAAAAAGTTAATGATCGATATGTAAAGAACTCAGGGAATCACCATTGCTGTTATCAAGTATTTTATTAATCATCTGTTCTATGTGCATTTCAGCATGATGTTGAGATAGGAAATAAACCATGAAAATTTCAAATACCTTTTTCTTTTGGAGCTTTCTTTATCTGTAACAATGCCATGAGGGGTGAATACAAATTTAAAAGTATATGTCATCTAGTTTAAAGTTTTTAGAACAAAGTGATTTTATGTATGAGTCAATAGAAATGTCTAGTATATCTCTTTTATATTGGTTTGTGGTAAGACTATTTTTATTTTAAAAGTTTTTTGTTGTTGTTACTCTTCATTAGAAAATCAGCTAGACTAATGCTTTTACCACCAAATCCTATGATCAGAGAAGCAGGAACCAACAGGCTATATTTGGTTCCTATTAAAGTGCCTGCACTGCAAAGTATAGATAATAAGGATTGAAATTAGTAATTAAGTATAGCACTTAACCTTCCATTATAGGGCTTTGTGGCAAGTGCTTTTATATGAAGCAATTCATCTGGTAGCAATGCTATACCTTTAATGAAAAGCACCTAAAGCATTGACCAGTGGTATTACCCAGTAATTGTCTAGAAGGCTTTCATAGAGAAACTAATTAGTAGAGATAGATTTTATGCTCTTTTCAAGTATATGAAATATTCCTTTAACTCAAAAATTCATATTTTAGAATAAATATTGAATTTTCTGAATAGCAGACCCAATTTCCATTATATTTTGTATGTGGAGCAGTGAATAGGAATAATATTTTGCAAGCCATTTAAAGATGAGAAAGCCATTTATTGGAGCTTGTTAGTTAAAGCTCTAGAATATAATGCACCGTTAATCTCTGATTTATTCCTAATTATAGTTATGTAGCAAAATTTCTCTCTCTAGCTTTTCTTTTCTCATAATGTTAATCCACAGAATTTAACATCATCTTACATGCCCAGTGTAAAGATTGCTCCAGGTAAATCACAGTTACTTTTGAAGATAAACCTTTGAGTTCATTTGTGTACCAGTGTGCCAAAAAATATCCTTTACACAAGGCCAAATTTTCACTTTATTCCTTTCAAATTAACACATCGAATCAACAAGTGTTTAGAGGACAGGTGCTACATTAAAGGGACATACGAGGCTTACCATCTGGTTACAGAGATACATAAGAAGTGTTGGAGATTAAAAACATACTATGTGAGAAAATACAAGAGTTATCATATAATATTTGGTTAACTTCTGATTAAGAAATACCAAAAAAAAAAAAAAAAGAAAATATGTTCCAAGGAAGAAGAAGCCATTTTGAGTAAGTTGTCTAGTAATAATATGAAAAAAATAGGAAACTTGATTTGGGTCTTGAAAGGCTAGATTTTTATTTAGAGGATGGCATGCATTTATGTTAATGAGACTAGCAGGAAAAGAGAGACAGAACATATTTAGAAAGTTATTAAATAGTCCAGATATCAAAAGATACCCTAAAGTAGGGTGATAGAAAATAGAGAATTAATACAGAATACAATAGAAGATCTGGTCTTCGATCGAATAGGAGAGTCATTTTTACTTTTTAGTCTTTCTGTCTGTCTGTCTTTCTCACCAGCAATTTTTCAACATTCTGTTGCTGCAGTGTGTCATCAGACTGCACCAAGTAACAATGAAATGAAAACCTGTGGTACGAATGAATAGAGAAGTCAGAGACATGGTTCTCCCTTGCTGAGAGTTTAGACATTTGGGGAGACAAGAAGGATTCAGAAAAGTTAACTAATGTCAAATAAAATGGGTCAACTTCAAAATTACTAGTGAAGAGTTTAATTGATATAGTTTTTAAAAAGGAGAAAATGGTGGTCTGTGATGATTTAACAAAGAAGATCATTTAAGAATAGGAAAATTTGAAAGAAAGAGAGGAATAGCCGAAGGAAAGACTCTATAGAGATGGTGTCAATATTTTTCACATGATTATTCAGTTTGGCTCAAAGATCTTATGGGTATTATCTCTAAGCTTTGACTTTGTTTTCATCTTCAAAAATTGGTAAAACATTTCAGAGCTCAGGAAAGTCATAGTGATGATGTCCCTTTAAATTCTATATACTTAGTTTAGATTGATTGATTGAATTTTAGTTTAAGTCATCAGTAATTATTGACTATTTGAGCTATTCCATCATTAAAGATTCCTAGTTGGTACTAAGTGTTGGTCGGTTTGATGATCTTGGTGTTTTTATTTAGCTTTAACAGAATTTTTGCTATGTATGATGTAATTGAAAAAATCTACCTCATTTGTATTCATAGCATTTGAAGGAGAGAAAGAACTTCAAAGGTCTTCTATTCCAGCCCCTTCATTTTTCAAACAATAAAATGG